GGCCACCAGAAAAATTGGCTCAAGACTTGGACCGCAAAAGACAAGTCAGGTCTAGTGATTGTCAGGTATAGAATCCTCCCCACAAGCCTTCTATAAACACTAAAATCAGCAATGGCCTCACCTTCACCCCTTTTCAACTTCAGATTGAATGGAGATGGACTATTTGCTAGCTTTGCACCAAGATATCCAACATAAGTTAAAACATCTAATGCATATTTTCTTTGGTAAATGGAAATTCGTGTTAAATTTCTTGTCACTTCAAGACCTAAGAAGTATTTCAAAATTCCTAAGTCTCTTAGTTTGAACTACCCATTCAATTAGCTTTGAACCTTTCGATGTAAGACAAATCATTTTCCCCAATTATTATATCATCAACATATATCAGAAGTGTGGTGAATGAGCAGCCATCTGTTTTGCTAAACAAGGAATGATCAAACCTTGATTGCCTGAAGCCTTGTGACAAAATGTAAGAAGTAGGCTTCATGTTCTATTGTCTTGAAGCTTGTTTCAATCCGTAAATAGATTTGTTTAGCTTGCAAACTAGTGGTTTACCATGCTCTCCTGATGCTCATAACCTAGAGGCATAAGCATATAAACCTCCTCATCCAACTCTCCATGTAGAAAGACATTATTGATGTCCAGTTGGTGAAGATGCCAATGTTTAATGGCTACAACTGCCAAGAGTGTCTTGATAGTTACTAATTTCGCAACAGGAGAAAAGGTTTCCTCATAATCTAATCCAGCCTGTTGAGTAAACCCCTTGGCTACCAGGTGTGCTTTCTTCCTCTCTTCTGTGCCATCAAATTTCATTTTAATTTTAAAAACCCACTTACAAGTAACTGGGGTTTTATGTTCAGGGAGTGCAGTAACATCCCAGGTGTTGTTTGACACTAATACTTTATATTCAACATCCATTGCTTCAACCCAATCAGGATACTATGAAGCCTTAGTATAATTTATGGGCTCAAAAGCAAGAGACAAAGCCAAAGTAAAACTCCTTTGACAATTGAGACATGAGACTACAGTGATAGTCTTGTAGATACAGTAGAGCGCGTTTTGGTCTAGTGGATTTCCTTGTAGGAATGATGTGAGGTAATGAAGGATCTGCAGATAAGGGTGGACTAGATTCCATAGATAAAGAGGAAGATATATCAGAAGATGGTTGGATTGGATTTTGAGGACTTTGATGTTTTGATGTTTCTGAATTGTTTGAAATTGGAAGCAAAGAAAACTCATCAACATTTGAATTAGAAGTCATGGGAAATAGAGTATATGAAGGTGGACTGATAGTGTCAGATTTATATAGGAAGCAAGAAAAACATGATTACGAAAAGGGAAAATATTTCCATAGAATAGAACATCTCTGGAGACAAAAACAGCTTTGGTCTTGAGATTAAAAAGTTTATATGCCTTCATTCCAAAAGGATCGCCAATAAAGATGCAGGAGATGGCCTTTGGATCAAATTTGGTTCTATTTCTCTTCAAGGTAGATGCATAGCAGAAATACCCAAAAACATTAAGAGTGTTATAAGGTGGTATGGCTTTGAATAATACTTTATACGGTGATTTGTTGGCAAGAAGTACGGTAGATGTTCTGTTTCTGACATGTGTGGCTATCATATGGAATCACCCTAGAAATGATCAAGTAGATTTGCTTGGAATTTAAGGGCTCTGGCAAAATTGAGTAGGTATTGGTGCTTTCTTTCAACTACACCATTTTGCTGAGGTGTTTCAACACAACTCGGCTGATGAATAATTCCTTTTGAAATGTAGAAATCAGTCATTTGAAATTCTAGATCATTGTCAAATCTAATGGTTCTGATATTACACTGAAAATGAGTTTGAATAAGGTGATATAGAATGACTGAATGAGTTCTAGTATGAGATTTTTCCCTCATAAGGTAAGTCCATGTCATTCAACTAAAATCATCAACAATGGTTAGAAAATATTTCGAACCATCCAAAGAAGGGACTGAATAAGTTCCCAAAATGTCACAATGAATGATTTCAAATTGATGTGAAGCATTAGTCTCACTGTTAGGGAATGACAGTCTATGTTGTTTGGCTAAAGGACAGATAGTACAATGCAATTCTTTATTGACTTCAATGTTGGGAACAGATTTCTGTAAAATAGAGAGTTTAGAAATAGGTAAATGTCCTAATCGACAATCCCAAAGATCAATATTCATTTTGACATTAGAATCAACAATGGTATTACAAACAGGAATATTGGATTTATTACATGGAAGAGGAAAACTAGGAACAGCAATAGAATTTTTGATGCTGGAATTGTTAGAATCAGATTTGAGCTGATAGTAGTGTGAGGGTTGAACATTGATTTGAGGTTGAGGCTGTTGGAAATGATAGAATCCATACTCAAGTTTACCTACCCTAATCATCCTCCACGTTGAAAGATCCTGAATAAAACAAGCATCATGAGAAAACATCAGACAGCAATTATGTTCAAGCGTCAATTTACTAACTGTATTAAATTGAACTTAAACGATGGCACAACCAGCACATTGCTCAAGTATAAAGTAGGTGATAACTTTATTTTTCCAATGTGAGTAACAACCACATTGTCACCATTAGGTAACCTCACAAAAGCACCAACAATAGCAGACACATCAGCTAAATGATTAATCGAATATACCATATGTTCTGAAGCACCAGTGTCAACGATCTATTTATTTGCAACTGATGGATAATCAATATGAACTTGATTACCCGAGAAAGCAAATGAATCAGGATCTGTTGGAGAAGGTGAAGATATATCCTGAGGCTGGTGGTTTTGAACAATCTGACTTTGCAACAAAGGCATTAACACAGATAGAATTTGTTGACACCGATTTGGAGTGATAGTAAGCTGTGAAAGAGAATTCAATATTCCTGATGCATCACTGCTAGATATTTGGCATTGACGAACTTGTCATACAGCATTAACCACTGGAGGTTTTCCTCTATTAACTCTCTGATTAGGAGGATATCCAATCAACTTATAACATTTGCCTTTGATATGTCTAGGCATACCACAATGACTACATATAGGTCTCTCTCTTTTCCGATTAGGATTAGCAAAATTGAATCTCTGATTGAACGATTTCTACACAGCTTTACGTACAAAAGCAACAACATCATGTGTTGCTTTTTTACCAGCACTTATCTTCTTTTGCCTTTCATCTTGTAAAACAAGTGCAAAAACCTTGTTCAACGAAGGTAATGGATCCATCAACAAAATTTGACCTCTAACACCAGCAAAATGTTCATCTAAATCCATGAGAAACTGCATAATTTGCTCCTCTTGTTTATAATCAGTGTTATCAGTGCTTGGCCTATAATTTTCCAATTCCTCCCATAGTCCTTGAGCTTGTTAAAGTAGGAATTAACTAACTTGTTCCCCTGAGAAATTGAAGCAATTTGTTTCTTCAATTCATAGATCCAAGGACCATTTCCCTGACTGTATCAATCACACACTTCGATCTAAATATCTCTAACTGAGTCCTAGTACATCACACTTGGATAAAGCTCCTTAGGTATCGAATTGATGATCCAAGAGGAGACCACATGGTTACATCTCCTCCAAGCCATATAAAGCAGATCATCCTGAGAAGACTTGATGATAGATTCATCAGCAAATCCTTCTTTATTTTTAACACTAAGCGCCATGGTTGATGCTCGACTCCATGTCGCGTAATTCTCTTCAGTGAGAGTAACATAAATCAATTGCATTCCAGTGTTATCTCTATAGTGAAGATAATAAAGACTACTTGGATCTCTCATCTAACGATTAATCATAGAAATTACATCCGTTCCAGCTGCATCTTTAGCTGACGATCCATGGACTGAATTCGCTTGTTCAAATTGACTTTGAACCTCCTCCTGAACACTAGAATCTCTCGCCATCAATTAGTGATGAAATTCAGAGTAAGAAGATCATAGAGTTGCATACGGAAGGAGAAATTTATTCTCTGATACCATGTAGAAATGTGAAGAATTGATCCGAATTGAGAGAGAGGAAATGGCGGGAAATGAAATTCATTCAATTGTGGAAAATGAATTATGTGCTTTACAGTAAAATGGAAGCCCCTGTTTATACACATCCTAACTTACAAAACGAATGGTAAAATGACATAAATAACTTCAAGCTATTTTAACATCTCAACATGATTTGAGAAATTATAACACACAATTAATTATCTTGATAGCATAAGAAAAGAGAAACTCATAATTCTCTCATTCTTGTTCCCTTATGTAGATTATCATTGGAGGCTGAACAAATTGATAGCTGTAGTGCAGATCGTGATTGTACGTGTTCTAAAACTGTCAAGGAATTTTGTAGAATTAACTAAAGGTATAATTTATATCATAGTTTCTACCTAAACAAAAAGAAGATCATTGGTGGGAATTGAAATTGTTTAAATTTTCTGTGTATAATTAAGTAACTTTCCAACACCCACCTAGTTAGGTCACTCAATGTGGAAAAACATGGCAGGAATGGTGATGTGAAATTGTTTGCTAAACTTTTAATCTCATATGAAAAATCAAATTCTGGTATGCGACGAGCCATAGATAATAACATTCAGGCATTATAAAGAAGACAGCAAGTCAATGAATCTGAAACGCGATGGTAATTAGAGGTTCATTTTTTATTCAGCTCAATCGATGTTTGATTGTAGTAACTATCTAGTATCTGAGAATGTTTTTGTCATCACTTTGGTTTTTGGGAGGGAATAGGATGCATTCTATTTCCTTTGTCGGATTCTGATCTTTTGTAGGTAAAGCATCCTACTGTATTTAGTAACTATACAAAATTGGAGCCACAAAGGCTACATGAGGTGTCTTTGGTATCCCAAGCAGAGAACTAAGAGTGTCAGACTATCAGGTGTCGAGGAGCCAACATCAACTGTATCCAGTTACTACAAGATGTAATATTCTCTGAGATGAAAAGAATAAATGGTTTTGATGTTGTAGTCTTAGGTATGTAAAAGGAAGCACTAAGGATGGTCAGAACTAATTCTGTTAGCAGAAAGGCTCTTGTTGGAGGCCAGTGGATTGGTATTTCAAATCCCATAGCAGCCACTAAATTGCACTATGCTAAAGTTGGGCAATTTGGCATACAGTCTGGGAATATCATTATTAGAGAGGGTGTAAGAGGTTTGCCCAAAGTAGGTGAACCTTCCCCGATCCAGGTTGTTAATAGAATAACATGTGGATCAATGAATAAAATTTGATACTCTTAATAGAATCAGATATAGGTTAGCCAATAAGAAGCGTCATCGTTGCTCTCCCTAAATGACTAAATTACCACTAAACTTGGAGGAAAATCTATAAATACTCCCAGTTTTTAAGAGAAATGCATGGAATTCAAATATTTCCCTCTAAAATAATTATTTGCTCTCTTGCTCCAAGTTTGATCATCAAAACTAGCGAGTTTTAGGACAAGAAGATTATATATAGGTAAAAGGATTTGTTGATTCGATTTTTACCATCAAGAATGGTGCTGCCTGTGGGAGTTTCGAACCAAAAAACCATGAAATTCAATGCAGTGGCTAGGAAATCATTGAGATCTAAAGGTTAAATCGAATGAAAATAGATTTGGAAAGGATGAAAGCTTTAGAGGTCAAGACAGAGGAATTTAACAATGATTCAACCAACGCTGATATCAATCCTAAGAGAAAGTGGGACAAAGTACCAATAAAGTTTCAGGCTAGCGTTTCTCCTACCCAATTCCACCGTCGAGAGAAAGGATCATACACTGCAAGAGTTGTACACAAAAGGGCAAAATATCTCAAAGCATTACCTGCAAAAAATGCATATCTGCGTGCAAAATATGAAGATCCAGAGGCGAGGCGAAAAATGAGGTCGATAGGGGAGTATCAACTCCGGTACTAAATTTTTGGTGATTGATAAACACCACGAGCCTACAAGATCGCTCTAGCAGAAAAGTGGAAAACGCCACTGACTAAAGAGTCCATTCCAAGGAGAATGGTGAATAAGGTAAACATGCACGACTGGAGGTATAACATTGAGAATGACCGGAAAGTAGAGAACTAAAATCATTTCTGCGGTATTCATCTAGACAAGGAATTTGAATGCCAATTTCTGGCAAAAGGATACAACGAGAAGGAAGATTTAAGGTATAAAATCAAGCAATCATAGAAACGTTTAATAAAAGCATAATGAGGCACGTATTAGCCACAATGCTAGCAAAAAGTAGGAGAATCCCTCAAGAGTTACCTCACACGTTTCAAAGCTAAAATGATTGCGATGAAGCTATACTTGATGAAGAGGTGAGAGATGCTTTGCAGAATGCCTTGTTGGAAATGACTCTTACCTAGCAAGAGGCCATTAAAAGGCATTCATGTTCCTTCCACCAATTGTTGAATCTAATACGCAATGAGATTCAGGTAAATGATATCCTTGAGAATCGAATAAGGCAGAAACAAGGACACCAGGAAAAATTAAAAAGAGAAGTGTACACGATTACATCAAATGGCCTAGATTACAATATCATCACTTGAATGAGCCCAAAGGCAGGAGGAGTACATTATCCACCACATCTTCTCATGGTATCCACCACATCATCTTGAATGTGCTCTCTCTTCTAGTGGACCTGTGGCTACCACTAGACCTCTTGATATTTCTACCCCAGAGGCTGACGGGTGAACCTCAGAAGTTAAGGTGTCTTGACATCATTTTCATGAGCCTCAAAAAAGTTCATATTCCATTCAGGGTGACAATTTTTTAAAATGTCAACCACTTTATTTCTCCCTTCTGCATAGCATCATCAATGACTTCGCAAGCTACAAAAAAAGTTGGTAAAATGCTGATCGATGTTGCTGTCTGTTCAACAATGGAGGGAGAAGGAAATTTCCACTCCACTAATATTCTAATATACTAACTATTACTTTTTCAAAATCAAAATAGGCGTGTGGACTCGTGACGCCTTCCTAAATATATCAAGTTTTAATTTCTCTTCGATGATCTCTCCTTTGCCATTGTCCTTGCCTACGTACTCCAATTTTCTCATTTCTATCTATATAATAAATATCTCCCTTTGAGTTTTTGACTTATTACAGTTTTAAAGGTATTATTTAATCCGTGTCTACTTTTGATCCATCTGTTTGTATGTATTTAGGTATGATTTGCTGCAGAAGTTGTGATTTCAACTTTTTTGTCAAGTTCTGATTGATTGGTTTCGAATGTAATTTGTTGTTCAATTAATTTCGAGATTGCTGAATATGTATTTGATATTAACTTCTTGAAGTCGAATTGCCAAAATACTCAAATCACTTTTCTTTTTCCACTGTTAGTGACACGACCCGTCTCGAGTCACCCTAGTGGACCCAGACGTGACGTGCGCCGATGGTGAGTTCCAACTAGATGCTGGACCCACCACCAAGGCCACATAGACTGTTCTACGACTGTTTGACTATTTAGTGAATGCAATATTTTTGTAAAAATTTTGNTGATTTGCTGCAGAAGTTGTGATTTCAACTTTTTTGTCAAGTTCTGATTGATTGGTTTCGAATGTAATTTGTTGTTCAATTAATTTCGAGATTGCTGAATATGTATTTGATATTAACTTCTTGAAGTCGAATTGCCAAAATACTCAAATCACTTTTCTTTTTCCACTGTTAGTGACACGACCCGTCTCGAGTCACCCTAGTGGACCCAGACGTGACATGCGCCGATAATGAGTTCCAACTAGATGCTAGACCCACCGCCAAGGCCACATAGACTGTTCTACGACTATTTGACTATTTTATGAAAACGATATTTTTGTAAAAATTTTAGCAGAGTTTCCCCTGAAAATAGAACAAAACCAACCTGAAATTTTTCAAAAAACCCCATACAAAAATCAATATCAAATATTTGGGAACCACCAATTCCACCAATACCACCACAACTAAATCAATATGAAACTAAACTTGACTGAACACTTCTACTTCAAAACACCGTGTTTACATGCATGCATTACAACAATTGAACAACCCATCTACGAAGTGAACATTAAACAAAATATCAGACCAAGTGTTTTGTGAACATCAGTCCCCAACTAAACATTTACATGCTATGATATGGTCAAGATCATGAAACCTAATGATGGATAGTCAGGCTCTGGACTTCAACAGGCTTTCCAAGTATCTCAAATTTAGCGGCCTCCTGATAGGAAAAACATGACAAAATATATGAGCTTGCAACTCAGTGAGTGGATAGTTCGCAAATATATACTTTTTCCATTTATACATTCTTACTGAAAAATCTGATTTATTATTATTACAGTTTTTAAGAAATTTTGATAATTTCTTTTATAACTGAAACATACTAAAATCATAAAATTCATACTCTTTATTCTAAATAACCAACTGTAAAAATATGTCAAATATAGACAATCTGGTATCAACATAAATCTGTGTAAAACTGTTATTTCTGTAAGTTAAAATGGTATTTCTGTAATTAAATAAGCTGAATTCTATATGTTGAAATGAACTATTATCTGATATTTGAAATTCTGTGAATCTACAACTGAATATACATAAATGATATACTAAATAATCACACAAAGAAGTACCCAATGAATAGCCCTACTCATGTACAGAGTAATCTCGATGTATAAGGCAAAGCCATTCAAATCTGATAATCTGATGATCTGGTCATACGTACGCAGAGCTGTCCCAAAGGCTAATCCCTCGAGTACACGGCCCAAAGCCTATGTGTGTACGAGAGTGGGTCTCAAAGACCTTTGATAATCTGGTCATACACTGTGGAAACACATTCACATCAGTCCAGAGCGGATAAAATCACTTAAGGTACTTTCTGATGGTTTTAAAATAACTTAAATATGCTGAAATATGTACTATGAATATAACATGCTAAAGAAATGATTTTAATGAACTAGATTTAACTTTAAAAGAAACTGACTATAAAATTCGTTTGATTCTGAAAATCATGTTGTGAAATCAAATACAGGAAATAAATAACTTCTGATACAGTATTAGATTTAATAAATATTTATTTCTAAAAAATAAGTTTTTCTACTCACAAAATACGAGTTACAAGCTAGACTGGCTGATAGACGTTCCCAATCTCCTTGTTACCACCTGAAATGTGATATGAATAATCAATTTAACAACCATCATAATAAGTAGTCTTAATATTAAAATACAAGTTCTTAGAACTTAATTCCTCCATACTTGAATAAATTCCCCAAATTATTCCTTTAATCCATTGGAGCTAATATCACTTTTTAGTCTATTAACTAATAACCAACTCATCAACAAAACCTTCAATCTGAGCATATATACAAATACCCACTTCAATCTAATGACAACTATTAATCATAATTCATCCCATTAAATTTTTCTCTTCTTCCATCAATATATTCTTCCAAGTAAAATTTTCATCATCACAATCATTTTCCAAAAAAAATCCTTACTTAAGAATCAAATTAGAAATTCTATAATTTGCTCAAAAATAAAGTTCCTTACCTTAAATGTAAATGGAAGCTAACTATCAAGAAACTTGAACTAAAAATCACGATCTTTTACCTACATTTGCAATTTCGAGCCAAGTAAAACCCTAGAAAAATTGACATAATATAATCCTATATCTCTTGAAAATTAAGATAAATCAAACCCAAAATTGAGGAAATCGGCACTTACCCCTTTTTCCTTCCTTTCCTTCTTCTTTTTCCTCATTTTTCCTTCATTTTCTTCCTTTCTCTCTTGGTTTCAGCTTCTGTTTTGGCCTCTGCGTGATGGTGGTGAAATAGTAAAGAATTGGGTTATAAAATTGGTAAAGTCATTGGCTATTTGCAAAGGAAGTCCCTTAACTTCCCATGATAATTTAAGTAAGTCATTAACTCCAAAAATAATCCATCTTAACCCTCATATATCATCCATTATGAAATAAATCCCAAAATAATTAATTTGCTTCACTTAAGTCCCCTTTGACTATGCTTTGACAATTCCATATTTGAATTTTGACCAAAAGAAAATGGGTTGTCACAGTTAGTTTTGCAGGAAATATTCATATCGATTTATTGAAGAATATAATATTATCTATATTGAAGAATTAATGCTGAAATGGATGATTATTAGGTTAATCATTAATGACATTCCCCAAGTCAAAGGTTTGGTTTTTAGTTTATGGTTGTAAACGTTTTATGCATTTTTCAGAGTATGAATGGGATTCATTCTCTAGATGTATGAATAATTCTGAGGATAGAATTTTTTGTCTATCAAACTTTGCAAATTAACGGCAGCTTCATTTGGACTTAATTAACCGTAAATCACGAAGTATAACAACACAACAACTTAACAATGGTGCTGGGAAAGCAAACTGGCTCGGATTATTAACTGAGACTTGGGAGTGGATTCAATTCGTATATTTTTGTCAAGAAGTCATCTATTTCTAGTGTTCATGAACTCCAGTCTTCTATTGGAGAGGGGAAGATGTATGTCTTCATAGGAGAGGTGAATGTTAATTTTTGTGCTTGTAATTCACCTTTAGCTATAGTGCAGTTTGGCAAATGATAAGGGAGATCAAGTGTACGTTTTATTTCCGCTTGTATGCTTGTTAATTTCTGAGTTTAGGTACAGACAGTGTTTCTCATTTGAACTTAATCATGTACTTTCAGTGATCTCGGTTTAATTTCTTCCAATTAAAGTCTTGTATAAACTATTTCTGCTTTTAAACATCTGCATTCTTCTGCAGGTCGTTTTATATATATCTAGAATGGTTTTTCTCCTAGGGAACTTGAGTAAGGAACCCTCACATTTTCAGCAGGATATTATTAGTTGTCCATTTTTGCAAAATGTCAATGAACCCACTAACTTCTCCTTGTCAACATCAATGGCTTTCCCCCTGCCTGTAAGTCATCTATCTGATTTCACTTACAGTGTTAATATTTATCTATGAATTGGCATTAATGTGCTTTCCATTTTTCACTCTAATTTAGACTCAGGGCTTCTCTATCTTCTTTGTCTTCCTCCTCCAGCTCCAGGTACGGGATGGAAAAGGTCCAATATTTGAGGATGGTCCCAATTTTTATATGGCATTCAGGCTTTTCCATGGACAGAATGGTGTTGTCCCACTGTCCGATAGATCATTAATTCGCAATGAAAACCCTCGGTCTGAACCAGCACCAACCCAGTATAATCTCTTGGCAGCAAAGGCTGCCACCATCAGCCTCTTCGGTTTTGGATCTGGAGGGCCTTTCGGATTTGATGCATTCTCTGTTAAAATATCCAGCACATGCAACTACACAATATTCCAGCTCATCATCAGATCTCCTCCATCTCTTCAGCTCACGTCCAACAGCTCACTATGGTGCCAATTCCAGATCCTTCTAGTTTCTTCTTTAGTTTGTTATTAGTTGTTAGTTTGTTATTATGGTGGTTTTCTTCCAGTCATTGCTGGAGTTTATTTTTACATTTCCAGTTCTCATTTCATTCATCAATGGTGATGAAGTTTTCCAGCAAATCCCCGGCAGAGCCATGGATGCTCCTTTTGTTTCGGTTGAATTTCTTGCTGTTTTTTGGATCAGAATTCTGATTTGTTTCTTCCCCTATCTGGAATGCTTCTATGTTGTCTTCAACCCCAATTGCATCTTTGTCATCTTCTCCAAATTCAAGATGTTCCATCTTGAGGGGGGAATGTTAGAATATGCCCACAGCCACAGCAAATCACAGGATCAGATCAGCATCAGCACATTCCACCTCCACATATCAGTTATCAGTTCACGTGCTTTTCCAGCTCACGTGCAGCTTACCAGCACATGCAACCTGCTTCCAGATTCTTCTTAGTTTGTTAGATTGTTAGAATTTTCTCTATAAATAGAGCTCTTATATGCATTATAATTCTCAAGTTGAATGAATATAATTTTCATCTTCTTCCCTACTGTAATAGCAAGTTCTATCCCTTCAATTCAATTTCTTTCNAGATCCTTCTCATTGTAGTTAGTTTGTTAGATTTAGTCTATAAATAGGGCTATGTAAGCACCTTTACAATTGAGCTTGATGAATTAATAAATTCTCCTATCATCGGTTCCTTCAATATGAATTTCATATTGAATCTATCTTCCTTTTATTTTCTGCTTTTGTTTCATTTTTGTTCCTGCAGTATAGTAGCTTAATTTCAGTTTAGTTACTTTAATTTCTTCAGCTGATTCATGTTTGATGCCGCTGTTTATGCTGTTATCAATTCTCTGCTGGTTTTTGTTCATTCTCTGCTGGTGCTAATTCTTTTACTGCTGGTTCGTTTCCTACTGGTCTCAATCTGTTCTTACTGGTTTTCAATTTCTCAATATGGTATCAGAGCATATCTTCAGTTGTTGCTCTCTGTTTTTTTTTTCCGGTTGTATTCAAAGTGTTTGACAAAAGTTCCCAATGGCAAGAGGGATTGCACAAGTTCAGCCATGAATATAGATAAGTTCAGAGTATTTTATTGTGCTTTTTGCTACTTTCTTCTACAGAATCTGAGTGACAGAATCCAGTATGATTTCTTCTTCATTAGTTCTTTTCTTCAGCAAATGCAGATCCGGTTTTGAAGCCATGGTTGCTCATTAATTCCGGTTAAATTCTGCTGCTGATTTCGATCAGAATTCTTCAATTAATCTGATCATTTCCTCTGAAGATAACTATGACTTTAGTTTTTAATCTCCTCTTCAATGAACAATTCCGCCATTGTTGAGTGTTTTCATGGAATTTATTCCGATTCCATTGTCTATGTTCTTCTCCTTTATGGATGATAATTCATGGTTTCTAACCCATGCAAAATCTGAAGATAACCGTGGCTTCAGATCCAGCTTTGTTTTGGAATTTTCTCTTCACCAGCTCGTGCTGAAGCTTTCTTAAAGAAATTTGGATCTGAATACCTTTTCAGGCAAGATCCAGGGACCAAGGTCAAACTTATCAAGCATATACGTATGTGAATGTCCAGAGAATGAGTTTCCAGAATCATTTAAGGAGTCCTCTTCCCATAGCCACTCATCAGATAATATTGTCTGTCAAGAAGAAAAGCCAGAAGCTACTGTTGATCGTACAATAGATACTAAAGCTTTCCTAGTACAATAGGCTGGATAGTTGAAGACAATCCATGGACAAATAAAGATGAGAAAGATACTGATGAAATGACCTATGCAAATCTGCAACTGAATCCTGAACGCTATACTGGCTATACTGGTCCATCTGCTAGAAGAACTTGGGATGCTATTTACATAGAGAATTGTCCCAAATATCCATCTGGAGAGTACCAAGAGAAAAGAATATCGTACAAGTTGATATCTGGTCTTCACCCCTCCATTTCAATCCACATAGCCGCTGATCACCTTTGATATCTGGAACCTCAGTCATGTTCCACACTTTAATTTTCTAGATGGACTATTGTTGATCTCCATAGTCCATCTAGAGGGGGGTGTGTTAAAATATCCAGCTCATGCAACTACAGAATATTCCAGCTCATCATCAGATCACCTCCATCTCTTCAGCTCACGTCCTGCAGCTCACTATGGTGCCAATTCCAGATCCTTCTAGTTTCTTCTTTAGTTTGTTATTAGGTGTTAGTTTGTTATTAGTTGTTAGTTTGTTAGATTTTTCTCTATAAATAAACTAGTGTGCAATGTAATTTTTCCAAGTTGAATGAATACAATTTCATCTTTTTCCCTGCTGCTACAACAGGTTCTATCGCTTTAGTTTTCAGTTTCTTTCATTGTCGTTTTCTCAATATTCTCTGAGAAGTGGAAGATTAAAAACAAGAAATCCAAGTCCTCCAAAAAAGACTCTTCCTAAAAGGTAATCGTCTACTTACATTTTGACAATCTTTTTACTTTTTTTTCTACATATGCAATTCTTTTTGTAGTATTATGGTGAGAAAAAGCTTTTGATGATTCCTTTGTTCTTCAGTGAGGGAAATCAGAACACGAGGCAACAAGCAATGAGTGGTTGCAAAATGGAAATTGCCCAATTGTAAAATCATATCGAGCAGTAAAACAAGTCCTTCCCCTCGTAGCGAAGGCCTTTCAACCTCCTCTAGTTGTTGCTGCCAGGAGTGCTCTAGCACGAACTGCCTTTGCTAAAAACCTTCGGCCACAACCTCTGCCTACAAAAATACTTGCATTTGGTGTTCTGGGAATGGCTGCAAATATACCTTTAGGAATATGGAGAGAACACACTGAAAAATTTTCTCCTTCTTGGTTTGCTGCTGTTTATGCAGCTGTGCCATTCATAGCTATACTCAGGAAATCTGTGCTGATGCCCAAGATGGCTATGGCATTTACCATTGCTGCATCTATTATTGGACAAGTGTTAGGCTCTAGGGCAGAGAGGTATCGGCTCAAGTCAGTCTCCGCAAATAAACTTGGTTTCACAGAAACTCCGAGTTTTGAGCCGACCTAGTTGGCTGTTGCTGGACCTTACTGGTCCTCGTCGTCAGCTGAAGTTTGCTGTTGATGATCAGTGTAATTAGCACATTATATGTGCTGTTTTCCAATTGTGACCAGAATGTCTATTCATGTGTAAATTTGTTCTTCCATTCTTTTGCTTTTCCTTTCCATTATGGGACTTCAATTGGAGAATAAAGGAGAGGGATGAAATTTTTGTTGTGATATTGTACTTGAAATTCTGGAATCAATAGAGATGTTCCTTCAGGCTTTATAAGAAATAGCTTTATTGTTCCTCTCGAATTAAAATGTGCTCATTATTAGGTCTATTGTCCAACTCCAATGTCAATTTTGACATATTTGTGGAACTGGTATTGTAATGTTAGACATGATGAATAAAGTAAACAACATGCTACTCCCAATCTTTTGACATTGTTTCTGTATTTGGATCAAATACTGTTGTGGTGTGATCCAAATTCCATGTTATTTGAGTTTGGTAAAATAAAATAAGTATAAGGAGTTTGGGTTTTAAGAGTCCAAATTAATGAAGATCAAATTTCATCAAAGATTGGAAATTTGGCTTGGAAAATGATTTCTTCTTCATATAGAACTCAAACAAAGAGATGTATGTATATATATATATATATATATTCAAACATGATAATTCAACAACATCTTGAGAGCTAGAGAGCTTAGATTTCAATTGAGAGAATTGAGATTTTTATTACTATTGATTACTATTGATTTTATTGAATTTTTCTCCTCAGCTCATGGTTTTTTCCATATTGGGTTTTCACGTAAATTTTGATTTTTATTTTCTTCTTATTTATTTTATTATCGTCATTATCTTGAGATCCAAAATTCATAACAAGTGGTATCAGAGTAAGGTTGATTGTTCCGCATGGCGACAATGAAATATGATATTTTGTTGCTGGATAGAAACACGAGATTTACCTTATGGGTGAAGATGCGAGTGGTTCAAGTGTAGATGGATTTGGAAGAAGCCTTTCTTGGCTTTGATAGGATGCCTGTTACTTGGACACAGGATGAAAAACAGCGTAGGGATCAAAAAACCCAATCACAAATTTATCTACATCTTTCAAATCAAATTCTTTTGGATATTTTAAATAAGAGAAGTGTCGCTGCGTTGTGGTTGAAGATGGAGCAACTTTGCATGACAAAGAGCTTGACTAGCAAGCTACACTTGAAACATCGTTTGTATGCTCACCAGATGTTTGAAGGTGTGTCGTTAGATGATCACTTAACTATGTTCAAAGAAATGGTGGCCGATTTGGAGATATTGGAAGTTAAGTATGACGAGGATGACTTAGCGTTGATGTTGTTGTGTTCTCTAGCGCCATTCTATGTGACTTTTAGAGATACTATTCTCTATAGATGGGATACTCTTATCGTGGAAGAGGTCTATGATGTTTTACTATCTAAGGAGAAGATGAGGCATCTTGCTGAAGGATTTGGGAATCATGCTAAGGCTTGATTGTGTGTGGGAGAAATCAAGATAGGAATCTTGGCAGAAATATGAAGAAAAGATCGAAATCTAGACATGCTAAGAAGACATGTCACTATTCTAAGAAGAATGGGGCATATTAGAGCTGATTGCTATGCCTTGAAAAATAGAAATAAAGCTACTGGTACTACTGAGAAAGGGAAGCAACCTGCTAACACAACAGAGGCTGATATTGTGGAAGATGGGCAAAGTGAATGAGAGTTTATTGTGATTTCTGATATGGATTCCAAACCTTATGAGGAATAAGTTCTAGACTCGATTTGTATTTCTCATATATGTCCCAATAGGGACTGGTTTCAACATATAAAGGAGTTTTGAGAGGTGTTGTGATCATGGGAAATAATACGCTTTGCAAAATTGTCGGAGTTGGTACAGTCATAATCAGAATGTTCGATGGGGCAATTAGGACACTTACTGAAGTAATGTATGTTCCAAAACTGAAGTGGAATTTCATATCTTTGAGTGCCCTTGACTCAAAGGGTTATAGATACACAGGTGAAGATGGAGTTTTAAAGGTGAGCTGGGGTGCTCTTGTTGTCATGAAGGGATATAAGAACTCACACAGTAGTACATTTTGGAGATGTTGTAGTTTCCATAGTAATTGGAGATGAAGTAGTTTCTATTTCTTCTTTAAAAGATGATGAAGTTACAAAACTTTGGCATATGCGACTCGGGCATATGAGTGAGAATTGCATGGTGGAGCTGAATAGAAGGGGACTTCTTGATGGGCAGAAGACCAGTAAAATAATTTTTTGTAAGCATTGTATCTTTGGGAAACAGAAAAGAGTCAGATTCATGAATGGAAGATACAACATGAAGGAAACACTAGAATATATTCATTCAGATCTTTGGGGACCGGCTATGACATAATCAAAACGAGACAATCATTACTTGTTGACAATGCTTGATGATTTCTTCAAGAAAGTTTGGGTATTATTCTTGAAGCAGAAGAGTGATGTGTTTGGAACTTGCAAGGAGTGGAAAACATTGGTAGAAAACAGACGGGAAAGTAGGTGAAATGTATATACACAGATAATGGTTTGAGTTTTGTTCAGATGAATTCAATAGCTTCTGCTGGGTTGAATGCATCTTGAGACACTTGATAGTGTCTGGAACTCCTCAACAGAATAGTGTAGGAAAACGAATGAATAGAATTTTGATGAAAAATATTCATTGTATATTTACAAATTCTGGGTTGCCTAAAACTTTTTGGGCTAAAGCTGCTACTACGGCTTGTTTTCTGATTAATAGCTCACTCTCAGTTGCTATTGATAAAAAGACACTAGACTGGTAAACCTTCTTATTATTCTGATTTGAAGATCTTTGGGTGTCCTTTTTATACTCATGTGGATAATAGGAAGTTGAGCCTAGGTCTAGAAAGTGCATCTTTCTTGGGTATAAATCAGGTGTGAAGGGGTATAAATTATGGTGTTCTAAGACAAGAAATGTGGTTATTAGTAGGGATGTAGTATTTGATGAACTTGCTATGGTTCGCAGTTTACCTCTTGGGGATTCTGATAAAATTAAGGAGCAGAATCATTCAACTCAGGTGGAGTTGGAAATTGGTTCAGATGATCAATTAGAGGTTGGAAAACAGTCCACTACAGATCAGTCCAATTCGGGGTTGATAGATAGTAATATCTTTCCTACTTTTTCTACACCACTAGCACCACCGTATTCAATTGTTGAGGATAGACCTCGTAGACAGATTAGACATCCACAAAAGTATGGGGAAGCAGATTTGGTAGCTTATATATTGAGTGTGGCTGAAGACATTAATTCCACTAAGGAGCCTGCTACATATTCAGAGGCAGTCAGTTGCAGTGATTCTAGCAGATGGATGATTGCTATGCATGAGAAAATTGAGTCATTGAGCAAAAATAACACTTGAGACTTGGTGAAATTATCTAGAGGTAAAAAGTTTGTTCGCTGAAAATGGGTTTTCAAAAGAAAAGAAGGCACATCAGGATTGAGGATGCTAGATACAAGGCTAGATTGGTGACAAAGGGCTACAGTCAGATTCCAAGTGTTGACTTTACAGATGTCTTCTCACCAGTTGTGAAGCATAGTTTCATTCGGGCTTTACTTGGAGTGGTGGCTAAGAATGAGTTGGAGCTTGAACAGATGGATGTCAAGACAGCATTTTTATATGGAAAACTTGAGAAGAGCATCTACATGCAAGAACCGAAGGGGTTCATAATCTCTGAAAAAAGAAGACTATGTGTGCTTGTTGAAGAAGTGCTTATATGGACTAAAGCTGTAACGCTCCAAAATTTCAAAAACGCTAGGGTGTTACCAAAAATTCAATTTCTTTGCGGAATGATAAAATAATATTCTTTAAATAAAAATAACTGAAATATTCATAATGAAAACATAACCACAAAATAAATAACTGCTTTTGAACAAATAAAACTGACTAATAATTTAGAAGTAAAAATAAAAAAATAAACTTCATGTTTTATCTCTTCGATTTCTCTTGGAAGTCTCATCACCATCCCGCCATTGTTCCTATCGATCCGAACTAACCTGTAAATTTTTTGTAAGAGTGAGTATTTAAAAATACCCAATAACATACGTGCAGTTTCTATATACAATAAAAAAAACACTTCATACCACTCTTCTCTTATGGAGTACATCGGTGACCAAGTGACATACCCATCTTAGGTTAACTTAGATTCTTGTAGAATCTCATATCTTTTAATAAAGAACCCGAAGGTCCAGTGATAATTCATGCATATATTACTGAATAAAAAAGTATAAAAAAACTAATAACTTGAACAAAAGTATCTTACCTTGATTGATCAAACGGGCTTTTGAAAAAAAAAATATACTAGAAATTTATAGCTGCTTTATATGAAAGCTGCCGTGTAAAATTCTTTGGTGATGAATTGTTGGACAATTGCACGCTATTTATAAAAAAAAAATATAGTGGTTGAGTCTTGGTACAATTGGGATGGAAAAATCGTATTTATCAAATTGGATAAGAATTAAACTTTTAGTAAACAAATCATAATATGACATGTGTACATAATATGACATGTGTACATAATATGACATGTGTACAATAAAAAGGTGATTCTAATCTCAATACATGATAGTGATGGCAACTTTTGACTTCATATAGAATTCTGAAAAAATTATCCCACATCCCTTCCTTAGATACACTTGGCTATCATCATCCAAAATTCAATTTGATTTTAAAAAAATAAAGAAATAATTTTACAATTTCTTTGAACTTCAATATCTTGAGACTAACTTATCCGAATTAACTTTTTCTCGAGCCTAATTTACATGATTAATTACGAGCTATCTAATGAGTACCATATTGATATACTTATCATCACTCTATCAAAATCCAAATATTTGACCCAAGAACAAAAGGATTTAAAACATACTTCACTTTAGTCCCTCAACTTTTAAAATAATAAAATATAACCTCCATCTTCAGAGCTTTGATCTTCACTAAGGCATAATCCAATTTAGCCGCCTCT